CGCGCGGCCCCGAGGCGGCCCTTCGGGCGGCCTGCTCCTTGGGCACACTCCACCCAGCCGTGGCGCCTCCGCCCACCCCGTGTCAGTCGTGACCCTTCCTGCCGCCCGTGTCCCGCCTGCCGCGGCAGAACCCCCGGGTCTGTGTCTAGTGCCACGGCGCCCTCTGTCTCCCCTTTCGCATGTTTCGTGACTCGGCCACGTGGCGGAACATGGGCATGAAGGACGCGGACTTCAGGCGACGTCGGCCGCCCGAGAGTGCAGGAGCGCCAGTTCCCTCGGGAATCAAGTCCAAGCTGAGTTTGGGGGCTCTCCTGTGGCCTGCCCTGCCCCCCAAGAGAGCCCCTCCCGGACTTGGGTCGCGGGCCCGGCCAGTCCCGCGCTCTGCCGCCGAGTCCCGCTCTCCAAGGGACTTGAGGTAGTTCCTTGGCCCCCAACGCACACGTCTTCAGCGCGGGCCAGAGCCTTGACCGCCGAGGGCTGCGAGGCCGTGGCTGCCCCCGCCTGCCCCTGCCCAGCTGCCGGCACTGGGCAAGCGGCCCCGGGAGCGCTGGAATCCGCCGGCCTCCCCTCCAGCCCGACGCCCAGCGAGCCTCAAGCCCACAACCGGCTCCGCCCTGCTGGGCCCCGCCCGAGCTCAGTGCCGCTGGCCCCTCCGTCCCCTCCGGACTCCATCTCCTGGACGATGACGCATCGCGTCTTTCTTCCGGCCGTGGGGCGCACGGCCGCCCTGGGCTCGTCTTCACTTCTGCTTTTCCGCCACTTGAGCAGCCACCGGGCAGGCGGCTTCCCAGCAGGGCGGGGGCCCAGCGGCCGGTGGCGCCCAGGCCTCCTCCCGGGCCCCGGCGTCTGGCCTGCCAGCCCTGCTCTCCCGGCCCTCAGCGCTGCTCTGGGCGTTTCGGAGAAGCTGGCCCGGGCAGGGGGTGCTCAGGGCTGTCCCACCCGGGCTGTCCGGCGGCGGGCTGGCCCTGGGCTGCTCCGTGGGCTCCCCCGCGCCCTCCTGTGCGGCCTGCACACGGGCAGCCGCTCGCCTGGCTCCCAGACCTCGAAGGCCAGCCCTTCCCTCCTGGGGCTGGCAGCACGTGCGTCACAGCTCACCCCAGGCGCCCGGCCCCCCCGGCCGCAGCTGGCCCTCGCCTGCCCCCAGAAGCGCACACCCCAGAGCACCGGTGGGCACGAGCGGCTTTATTGTTTCTCCCTGAGGAGGGCGCCGGTCGGAGCGGGCGCAGGGACGCGCCGTCTCCGGGCGGGCGGGCAGGGCAGGCGGGGCACGCAGGCCGCAGGCGGCGGGCGCGGGCCCTCCCGGGGGCCCTCCTCCCTCCTTGAAGCCCCGGCCCTGGCCCATTACTCAGTTCAGCACAAACCCCTTGTTGTCCTAGTTTTTTTCTTAAGATTTGTTCAATTTATGCACACAGAACTGGGGTGCAGGCCAGAGGTGCGGGGCGTGAGAGGCTTCCCCAGAGACAGAGCGGGGAGCAGGACGGGCAGATGGATGGACCCGCGGCTGAGGGGGCGGCGGGGAGACAGGAGGGGGCTGCCGCGCCCCGTGGGCCGCTCCCTGGCCGGGCTGGAACGAAGCGGCGGCGGCAGCCTGCGGGGCTGCGTGCTAACCCGCCGCGCCCCAGGGAGGGCCCCGCTTCAGAAACATGAGCCCTGTTTTTTGACCGGAATCCCTAGGTCCTCAACGGGGCCCGCCTGTGCCTGGGTGTTCTGCCCTGTGTCCCGGGAAACTTGGCTTTCAAGCCTGCCGAGTCTCGCGTGGGCAACCACGATCTTTTCGGCATTCTTGACTGTACTCTGGCGATTCTCCTGTTTTGTTTTCATAAAGGGGCACCTCGGTGTGTGGCACGCTGAGTCACGTCTGGTGAGGCACTCGGACATCAAACAGAACGTTCCCGGTGCCCCAGGAAGCGCCCCACGGCCCTCCGGCGCCAGGCACGGCTTCCCCGGCCGCTGCTGGTGGGGCCTCACGCCACCCAGCCTCCGCCAGGCCCCCGAGGCCCCCGAACGTGCTGGCTTCTCGCGCCGGCAGCAAAAGCAGGAAGACCCCGAGTGGGGCGCGAGGACGCGGGCAGGGCCCTCGGGGCTGAAGCTGCTCCAGGCCGCCAGCAGGCCGCTTCATGGCCGGCGGCTGCAGTCCGGGGCAGGCGGGCGCGGGAGAGGCTGCACCCACTGAACTAGGGAGGGGGGAGAAGGGCGGGGCAAACGGCACAGATGGGGTGGGTTCTCAGGTGCGGACCCCCCTTTGTTCCTGGGGGATCCCCCCGGGGCTCCGCTGGCTGCACAGCCACACTGGTGGGGTGCCGGGACCTCCAGCCCCTCCAGCCACCCCAGCCGCTGGTTCTCAGGAGCACAGTCCTTTCCGGGCGGGGCGACACCCGTCGAGAGGGTCACAACCAGGCCCAGCGGGGGTGCCCCCCGTCCACCCCCAGGCCCAGCAGCACCACACCCAGGCCACGCGTGGGGATGGGCCCTGCAGCCGGACCAGCTTCTGGCAGCCTGCCTTTCTGGGGGTAGGCCCGAGGGGAAGGAAAGCACGCCAAGGACTGACCCTGGTGGACTCCCGAGGCCGACGGGCCTCCTCTCCCCTCCCAGCCTCATCGCCTCCCAAGCGAGCCCTCCCCAGGCCTGCCACCCCCCACCCCCGTTCCTCCCTCCGGAGCCCACCCACCTTCCACGGGCCCAGCCGCCCGTCAGTGACGTGGGCACGACACGTCCGCAGGCGCCCAGCGCCCAGGCCGTGAGTGACCCTCTGCTGGGACTCGGCTACCGGGCGGCCACCATCTGGCGGGAGGGGGCAGCCACGGCTCCGTCCGCAGGGCAGCCCTCGAGGCCAGGCCCGCAGCCCGCTCCTGGAGTCGGCGCTCGGCACCCAGAAAGCTGGCCGTCAGTGAGGGCTCAGGTGCCCCTCGGGGGCACAGGGGAGGCCCAGGCCTCCTGTCGGGACCTGCGGCTCGGTGCCGGACCACGGGGCGCCGGCGCAGTCGTGCGGCCACGTGAGCCGGGCCCGGGCACAGACGCCTGGCAGGCCAGCCT